GAAGAACGAAAGAAGAAAGAGCAAAAGATAATGATGAAGTTCAGTATGCATACATTGAAGATAGTGATTTTAATGATGAACTAGTCAAGGCAAATACTCAGTCGAACACTGAACACACCAATATGTGGTACCTGGATTCAGGATGTAGTAACAACATGACTGATAATAAAAACGGGTTCGCCAAGTTGGATGAATAAATCAAGAAAGTGATAAAGTTTATAGAGGGCAGACACGTCACATCAGGTGAAAAAGGAGACATATTTGTTGTCAAAAAGAATGGTCGAAAAGCCAACATCACTGATGTATTGTACATACCATTGATGACAAGTAATTTGATAAGCATTTGTAAATTACTTGTAAAAGGGTAAAACACGAAGCTAGAAAACTATCAGATAAAGGTGCGTGATGGTGAGAAAGAGTTGATTTTGAAAGCACTATTGGTAGATAACAATACATTTAAAGTAGATATCAACACGGTTTATCACAAGTGTCTTGCTTTGACTTCAGAAGAAGACAAGAATTGGCTATGGCATCACATGTATGGACATTTAAACTTTAGGAGTTTAGGTATGCTCAACAAGAAGAAAATGGTGTATGGGTTTCCTCAGTTAAATGAACCAAGTAAGGTGTGTGAGTAATGTTGTAAAGCAAAGTAGGCTAGGAAATCATTCAAGCATGAATTGCCCATGAGATCGGAGGAAAATCTGGAGCCCGCTCACTCTGATGAGTCTGAACCTTTTGAAGTAAGGTCGAATCGAGGTAACTATTATTTCCTAACTTTCATAGATGAATTCACCAGATACGTGTGAATTTACATTATTGAAAGAAAGAGTGAGTTATTCACGGAGTTCAAGAAGTTTAAATTTCATTTCGAGAAACAAATTGGAGCAAATTAAATAAAATGGGAATTAATGGTAGTAGTAATACACCTCTAGTGAATTTGAAAAATTCTGCAAAGAGAAAGGTATAAAGCATGAGTTTATTGCTCCATATACACCTTAACATAATGGCATAGTTGAGAGGAAGAATCGTAGTATATTGAACATGACTAGGAGCATGTTGAAAGCTAAAGATATGCCAAAGAGATTTCGGGGTGAAGCAGCTTTGACAATAATATACATTCTGAATAGATATCCAACAAAGAAGATAGTTAAGAAGACACCTTATGAGGCTTGGACGTGACAGAAGCCAAATGTTAGTTGTCTTAGAGTGTTTAGATCTATGTGCTTCAAGCATGTACCTGAGCAATTGAGAAAGAAACTAGATGATAGAAGTCATGCCAGGTGTCCATAGGTTATCATTCAACCAATGCGTACAAATTGTATTCGCCAAACGATGATAAACTAGTGATCAGCCGAGATGTTCTGATAGATGAAAGCAAAGGGTGGAACTGAAGTTTGGGGTCAGTTCGACGCGAGTAAGATACAATCACAACTATATTTGAAGAAGATCAACATAATTAAGCCACAACTCAAGATGGAGAACCACCTGAGCAAAATATTTTAAGGTTGATGAGAACGAGAACTGAGTCGACAAGGCTAGTTAGATATGAGAGATTTCCATATCAAGAAATTGACGCAGATGGTGAATTAATACAAGAAGTGATGATGATGGTTAAAGCAGAACTGATCAATTTATATCAAGCCATGAATGATTCAAATTAATTGGCAGCCATGAAAGAAGAACTCAGGGCAATCGAGAGGAACAAGACTTGGGAGCTTTTTGAAATATATAGCAAGAAGCCAATTGATGTGAAGTGGGTCTACAAGTTAAAACGAAGGCCAAATGGTGAAAATTTTTAAGCATAAGGCAAGACTATTAGTGAGAGGTTTTTTGTAAAAACTTGGTATTGATTTTGAAGAGGTTTATGTACCTGTTGCAAGGCTGGAGATAATAAAATAATTTGTGTCGATAACAACATACTGAGGGGAAAAGATACATCAGTTGGATGTAAAATCAACATTTCTGAATGGACCTTTGGAAGAAGAAGTTTATGTCAGTCAACCACTTGGATTCAAAATCAAAGGGATGAAGTCGAAGGTGTACATGTTAATAAAGGCTCTCTATGGTTTGAAGAAAGCCCTAAGAGCGTGGAATAAGAGGATTGATAGTTTCCTGGTTAAAGCAGATTTCACAAAGTGTGTATGTGAACATGGTTTATATGTCAATGATGCAAACAGGGTCGGTCGATCATTTTATGCCTGTATGTAGATGATTTGTTGATATAGGTGTAGATAAAGCAACAATAAGATGAGTACAGTCGAAGCTTATGCATGAGTTTGAAATATCTGACCTAGGGAACTTGTCATATTTCTTATGGATGGAGTGTGAAGAGAAGTTTGAACTTAAGTATTGCAAGATAGAATGACAACTAGCTGATATACTCACCAAAACACTTGAAGAAAGTCAGGTTCAATAAGTTGAAGAAAAATATTGGGATAAGAAGTCTTAAAAACATGAATTAGGTGGTGTGTTAGAAGTTGTAATTTATTGTTTTGTAGAAAAAAATGTATTCGACATAGGTGTGTTCGACCTAGTCGAAGTAGTAGGAGTCAGTTGTATTTGACATATTCAAATACAAAATATAGTCGTTATATCAAAGCCAAAATTTAACTTATAATATTTTGGACTTGTGTTGTATGTTTTGGGCTTGAGTTTTAATTGCCTATAAATAGACATGACATTGTAGAGTTTATATACTTAACACTTAACAACTCTAGTAACAATAACTTCAAAATTTTACAGTTTTGTATCTTTTCTCTCTTCTTCTTCTCTCATCTTTCTTGAAAACCCTAATTGTATAAGGAGGTGTCTCCTTTTTTATAATAGCAAGCTCTTCAGACCTTATTTGAGGTTACTCCAAACTATTTCCAGAATACCGATGCATTGTTCCTCTACTATTTGAAACACATAAGACTAAGTGATTTAAATAAGAGATTCTGACAATAAAATACTGAACCTCTAGTCAAAAGAAGTCATCTTGGTCTTCTAATATTGAATAGGTCTCGTAATAAAAAGAGATAGTCCTTTCTTTAGATGATGAGCTCCTCTAACTTTGTTTGAAGTCTTTACAAGACATTCCAGAAAATAGTGATACAGTGTTCAATATTAAAGATGGCAAATTTATATATTGCAAAATTACTGCTTAACACACAAACAAACTAATTCAGATCTGGTTGATGATGATTGGTCTTATCCATCATCTTAGCAATGTCATTATCACTTTTCTCTTTTAAACATGTATTTGGAACCTCACCAAGGTACCTTAATTATTGACCATGATCGATCATCAATTAATAACTAATTATGTTAATCATGTGCGGGTTTTGATTATGATATAAGAAGCATAATAGCTGGCTGCTTTATACTCATGCAATTGATTTATGATCTCCATAAATAAAGTTGGCTTAGAATCATATTGTGCACAACAAAATTTATGGTGGAAGGAATATCCTAATCCTGCTTTCCACTTCCCTACCAATTTTCAATTTTATCAACACGTATGTTCCTTATTATTTTAGTAAGTAGGTGGTGTTATTATTAGATTCTAAAGCATGATCAAAACAATATGAAACATTCTTAAGAAAGATGTATTAAAAATACTTTTGAAAATTCTACCTCCACATATGATCAAGGTTCATTTATAGTATCAATATGAAGACTTCGTTCATGGATAATAATTAAAATTAAAAATTCATAAAATCATAAATTTTCCATATATTTTGGCGACCTATTAGATCCCTTTCACAATTTTTTTTTTTAAATTTTGAATAAATATGTAACAACATCTTTTTTTTTGTGGTCATAGATGATTGATGATGTTGATAGTGTCGTTTCCCACGGCCTCCTGTATATTAAGGCTGGTATCTAAAGACCCTTATTAGGAAGATTAGCAAAGAAAAAAATGTTGAAACCCTTTTAAAGGGAGACAGTAATTAACAATAAGGAATAGGGAGGGGCATGTAGTATAAATATATAGATTCGACGTTTTAACTTTGGTGACCCAATCATTCAATAAGACCATCAAAAGGATGGGCCATAAAAAGAAGGGTCCTGATTGATGGAATGGTGGGCCGTATCTGAGTAGGGTCATTAAGACTCACCATGGATCTTTCTCTTATGCCAGCAACTGCTCCATTTAATTATTTTTTAAAAAGAGAACAGAAGATGGGGAATGATCCACCTGTTTGTCAGTCCCATTGTACACTGGTTTGGGCAATAACCAGCACCTATACCCTACCACCTGAACCAACACCTGGAAACCGATAAGCTCTTGACCCCACTATGTACTATTCCTATTACTACTACTATTACTAATCTAAATCATCATCATCATCAAAAAAGCATTGCAAATTTTATGTATTTACTATGGTAACACTGTTTCATCCCTTTTACCACACGAGTTTTTTCTGGTCCAGAAAGAGATGAAAAAAAACAAAATGCCTGTTAGGTAGGAAACTCAGCTCTAACCGTGTAATGGAATGGAATCAAATCAAATAGTAGTAAGTCGTTTTCTTTTTTCTCTTTAAAAAGCATTAAATTACAATTCAAAAGCTTGCTACGTTGTAAATATTAAATCAAAAAGAAAAAGAGAATTTCACAAACAATCATGATAACATTTCCTGTAGTGAAATAATTCAAAGAACACCTTTTTTTTTTCTTACCAGAGAAAAATAAAACAAAAAGCAGTAGCAAATTCTCTTCTTTCTCATCTCATCTCATCTCATCTTTCAAACCCTAGAAAAACACTCTTCTCTTATGTTCCCTTCTCATGGATCACTCTCTCTTGCAAAATCTTAATCACACCAAAAAAATTAATTTTGGAATAATAAATAATAATAAAAACTCAATTTAGAATAAGATTAAACAAACCTCATGTGTGTTAAAATTAAACACATCATCAAATCAAACTACTAGACAAGTAATGTAAGAAGAAGATGAAGCTGAAGGAAAAGATGATGATATTCTTCGACCTGTGGTGATACTGATGACTTTTGTTATTAATTATCATGTCTATCGTCGTGGCTACCACCGCGATGATGTGATTGTGATCCACTTGGTTGTTGTTGTTGATGATGAGATTGATGATCAGAAACCGGACGATAAGGACTTAGACCGGCGAGCATACTCAAATGTCCTTCATTCATGTTCATATTCATATTGACATTTCCACCACCTCCTCCGCCACTACTTCCACCACTACCACCGCCACTGCCGCTGCCAATGGATGAACTACCTAATTGCTGACCCGGTAACAAAGCCATGGGCTGTGGAAAATTCATAAAATGTAAACCACTTGTTGAAACTGCTCCTCTATATAAAGCAGCAGCACTATTATTCACCGACGGAAAAGTCCATATAGGATCACCACCACTCATTATTTGGTTATTGGAATTTGCAACCATCCATATATTCGCCGGCATCTGAGTATGGCTCGCCGGAATCGAACCTGCACTTGACTGCAGCAGGTAACTCCCCATTTGATGTTGTATGGATGATAAATCTTGCTCACTGCTAGGTCTTCTTTTTCTTCCTCCCATAGATTGATCTTCTCCGCTTGTTTCTGATAAATCCAACGTTGTTGATGAAGAAGGCGCGTTCGAGTTTGTGTTTGCGTTTGCGTTTGCGTTTCCATCTCGAAGCTCTTGTTTCGCCTGCAACATGCTTGTTAGGTTATTCGATTGGAAATTCAAAAGCATTGATGTGTTGTTGTTGTTGTTGTCTGAAGAAGATAAACCGATTCCAGGGAAAAGAGTTCTTCGTTGCTGAAGTGAGAAGTTCGGGTTGAAGTAAGAAGATCTTAGCTGAGATGGAACAGACATGGAAGAGCCTGAGCTACGGAGTGAGATGTTGAGAGAGGTGAAGTTAGCAGGGATAGTTCCGGTACCAGTAGCGGCTATGACGGCTGGTTCGGCTTGTTGGAGGAGCCATTCGATGGTTTCTCCGTCGGATTTATGGCCGAGTTCGCGTGTTAGTTGGAAAACTCTAGCAGCGCAGAGTGCAGGCATTCGGATGCGGCGGCCGCGGCCTTCTACTTTGGTGTGACGGTCTTTGGTGGAGGTTCTCTTGGGAGGTGGTTTTTTGCTTCCCGGGTCGGAGGTTGTTGGTGCTGCTGCTGGTACTAGTTGGTTGGATCGGTTTGAATTTGACGTGCTTGGTTCTGTAGGTGAGATTGCTAGTGATGGATATGGTGAAGAGGTTGAACATGAAGCTGCTTCTTGTTGGTCTTCTTTTTTCTCAAGAAGCTGGAATGGGAAGTTTTGATTCTGACGCTGTTGTTGTTGGTGATGGTGGTGTTGGTGTTGATGGTGGTGATGATGGTGGTGGAGATCATCTCCTCCCTCCATGATCGCATGGAGAGAAAATAATAAAAGTGTGTTTGATATGAGTGTGATAAGTGTGGTTATAGTTTGTTATGTATGGTGGGTCTTTCTCATTTTGAGGAAGAGATATGGGTGTGTAGTTTTATTTGTTGTTTTGTTTGTGTAAATGAAGGAATTTTGCTTTGGAATTGATGTGGTTTAGGTTAGAGAGAGAGAGAGAGATGAGATAGGAGGGAGGTGGGAGGGTAAGAGCTTTAAGCAACAAAGATAATGAGTGGGAATTATATGGGTGAGCTTTAAAAAGCATGATTTTTTACAAAAGAAATTGCTTTCTTCACTTGTGGTGTTCATGAGCTTTTTAATTATAACTTATATGTGGATTTGTTTTTAATTTATTTTATATTTTAAATTAATATAAAATTATAATTATTTTATGAAAAAACTAGTTCTCTTTTAGTTTTTTTTTTTTTCAAAAACTCGATATTTTATCATAAAATTCATTAATAAGGAGAATTAATTCTACATTTTTATATAGACCAATCAAACACAAAAAATTATTAATAATTAAGATGATTTTAATCTTAAACTTTGTTGGTGTATAGGGTTAATGAATGAAGAAAGGTACGAGAGAATAATATTAAATTTCTGTAATGATGGATATAAAATTATAAAGAAGAATGATTGAACGTTTTTATGACAACTATCCGTAATCTATTTATACACAAAGTAAATAGTCACATAGGTCCTAACAAAAGGTAAACTTAATAATTAAGCAAATTAAACTTAATAGCTACGCTAGCAAAATAAATTAGAACCTCATAAGCTAAACATACTTCTGGGCGTAACTTCAGAAGTTTTTGCTTCTGATCAACAACATCAGAAGCTTCTGATTCTAACAACTTCTGAATATGAATTACTTCCAACACAATCCATTAATCCATATTCATATAACCAAAAACTACAACACCAATTTTATTCCTCAAACGGATAAAGTGTTCAGTCTTGACATCCTTCGCCATAACATCTACAAGTTGCTTCTGGTTGCTACAGTGTGCTACTTCTAATACTCCATTTAGAAATGCACATTTCTCCTTGAAAATCCATCTGACGCCGATGATTTTCTTCTCCTTTGAAAGCTCAGTTAACTTCCAAGTCTTGTTTCTTTGTATAGCCTCAAGTTCTTATTATGGCATTCAACCATACTTTCTTTTTTAGAGCTTCTTCAATACTCACAGGTTAAGAATCTACTAACATGGCACACTGAACAATTTCTCCTTCTGAATTTACTTCAGTGTCTGGCAACATGTCAAACTCTGGAAACCTTCTTGGTATTTGTCTGATTCTTTGTGGCCTCTGAACTTGTTCAGAACTCTTTTTTATTCTGGAACAATATCTTCTTCTAGACTTTCTTCAAAAGTTCGACTACCACCAGAAGCTACACCTTTGCTAACTTATGGACTTTGTTCAGAACCACTACCTTCAGAAATACCACCTTTAGAAATTGGATCGCCTTCAGAAACTCTTCCTTTAGAAGTTCCACTTTCAGAGACATAATTTCCACCAGAAATATGATCATCTCCAAACGCTTGTCCTCTAGAACCTACGTCTTTAGAGTTTTCCCTTCTAGAAGTATGATCACCACCAGATTCAAAATCTGGATCAGAATCATATTCACCATCTGACTCATCTTTAGAGTCTCTAGAATCTTCATCTTCTGACTCTAGCTCTTTTTCAGAACTTTCAAGTTCTGACTCATCTTCAGAACCTCCAGGTTCTGATTCATCTTTAGAAGCAGAATCTTCTTCAGATTCTGACTCATCTTATGGTTCTTCTTCAGACTCATAATCACCTTCGGATTCTGACTTCTCTTCAGCTTCAAAGTCATCTTCTAACTATGTCTCATCTTCAAAAACCTCATATTCTAACTCATCTTCAGAATCTTCAGATTCATCTTCTGATTCTGAATCATATTCAAACACTCTAAAGTCAGAATATTCATAGTTATCTTCTTCCCCTTTAGAATCATAAAATGACAATCACATTGGTTCCTCATCAGATTCATAAACCATAAATAGCACATATTCATCATATGAATCTCCCCTGGCTATTTTTGCTTCTTTAGGTTGACCAACAATCTTTAGTAAAGTGGCCAAACTGCTTACAACAGTGGCATTGAACCATTCTCTTGTCATACTTCTCCATTCTCTTCTGATGTTTCTTCTCATCAGAATAGAAGACTTCTGACTTCTGAGACCTATCATGTTTTTTCTGCTTCTAGTCCTTCTTGACATAAGAAGCTTTCAGAGCCTGCTCAACCTCCCTCTTAGAAGTTCTCTCAGTCAGACGCAACTCTTGCGCCTCTATACTACTTTGTAGCTCTTCTATTCTCATGATGTTCAGATCTTTAGAATGTTCAATTGCTACAACAATGTAATCAAATTGAGGAGTAAGAGAGTTCAATATCTTCTCAATGATTACTTGTTCAGAAAGGTTTTCTCCACAAACTTTCATCTCATTCATGATCAGAATCACTCTAGAGATATACTCAGAAACCTTCTCGTTGTCCATCATGTTGAGATTCTCATACTGCTTTCTGAGAGACTAAAGCTTCACCTTCTTCATTGATGTGTCACCGCCGTAACACCAAGTCAGTGTGTCCCACACAGTCTTCGTCGTCATTGAATCAACAATTTTCTCAAACACGTTCTCATCCACACACTGATGAATGATGAACAACGCCTTCTGATATTTCTTTCTTGTATCTCTCTGCGCATTTCTCTGTTCCTCCATCGCATCTGCTGCAACTGAAAGATAACCATCGTTGACGAGATCAAGAACATCTTGAGTGCCAAACAACACATGCATCTGAATCATCCAACGATTTTAATTTTTACCTTTAAATACTGGAAGCTTGGTGCTTAGACTACCATTTCTGATCATCATCAACCTTGTGCAAGTCACTCAGATCTCACAAACACAATGCTTCTCAATCTCACATAATCAAAAAATATGATTCTGTTCAGATTTTGCGCAAGATTTAACACGAATTCAAGAACCAAAATCAATCACACAACGCATCACCGTTTCACTCGTGTTTCCCCGTGTTTCGAACTGCAGCTCTAGATATCAATTGTTGGTGCATAAGGTTAATAAATGAAGAAAGGTATGAGAGAATAATATTAAAGCTCTGCAATGACGACTATAAAATTGAAAGGAAGAATGATTGAACATTTTTATGACAGCTATCACCAGTCTATTTATACACAAAGTAAATTGTCACGCAGGCCATAACAAAAAGTAAACTTAATAACTAAGCAAATTAAATTTAATAGCTACGCTAACAAAATAAACTAAAATTTCAGAAATTAGACATATTTCTGATCGTAATCTCATAAGCTTCTGCTTCTGACTTAAAATATCAACAATTTCTGATTTTAACAACTTCTGAATGTAAGTTATTTCTAACAAACTTGAGACAATCAGGGATAGATACATCTTATCCTGATCTCGACCCTTATTTGTTTATAAAAAAAAGTTTAAAAGTAAAAGAAATTGATATATATTTACTTAAAATTGAAATTTTATTATGATTTTAATTTGATTATTTAAATGGAAGAGAAAAAGAAACGAGGGAGATGAGTAGTGTTGTGTTGTTCCCTTTTAATTGTGGTTGGACAGAGTCTTTGGTTCAGACTCCACGTGAGGTGCTCTTTTTATCATTCAATCCATAAAGACAATGGTGGCCGAAGTGGGACCCAATCCCAAGTCAAAAAAATAAAATTGAAAGACCTGGAAAGGAAATATTATCAACTGGGTCCCATTCCATTCAAGTAATCATTTCATTTTCCCTTTGCCCTTTGCCTTTTCTTCTTCACCTTTGCTCTTCAACTTTGGGATTCCTCAATCCCCACCTTCATTTCATCCCTTTACTTTACTACTATACTACTACTACTACTTTGCTTTTCCTCTTTCTCTCTCTCTGGCCTAATTAGAGCGTTTACATTTTGTTTTTCTTAGTTTATTTCACATCAACTATATATTGCTTACAAACATCTTGGTCCCTAACTAACCCTTCTACTCATTTTTGTGTATCATTTGGATTATCCAAAATTAGCTTCCTATTCATCACTTTAATTTACCCTCTTAACATGTTTCCTTGTCCATTATCAAATGCCTATTACAAGCCATGCAATTTTTTAATTACTTGCATTTGCATACATATCCATTACACCACCAAACACCTCAATCAATTTCTCCTTTTCAATTTATCAATCATATCAATCAAGTATTAATTTTCACTTTTGAATTATTTTAAGAGAGAAACTGAGTATTATCATAGGCAACAGAAAGAATTAATTTTTCGAATTAGAAAAAATTACAAGATATTTTAACACTTTTACGGTCCAAAGTTAATTATTCGAATCTAAGATATTTAGTAAAAGTTTAAATTTATTATTGCAACTATTATATAATTTTTTAATATTGATTATAAATAAAAACCTCATAATGATTAAAATAACTAAAGGGTTTGAAGGAGAAAATGACAACATATATACATATAAGGAATTTTAGAATCACTCAACACAAATGCTATTGAGAGTTATCTTCTTCAGACTTGGGACCACAGAGAAGCACATTGAAATGGATCCAAATCCTTGTAAACTTTCAGAGAGAACAACTAGTCACTATGTATTGTTTATAAGGGAAGTCTATTTCATCTTTTTTATTTGGTTAGACTTTGCTTGATACATGCAAGTAGATTTTTTTTCCCTTCACTTCAAGTTGAAGCTGACACTGTTCCTTTTCATCTCATGTGAAGCAAATTAACTTCACACAAACCAATTTCATTTAATTTCTTTACATTTATGAACAGTCTATATAGTATCTTTTTATAGAAACTATATTTTTTTATAGTCTATTGTTATAGCACTTGGCACTGACCACTAAACTATCTCAAAATAATAATTAAATTGACACTTCGAGTGATATCATATTTGAAACTTATACATGTAATGGAAACAAAT